AATTGTGCTCGGGGCAGATCCAATTGAATTAATGGCAAATTTAATTCCATTAATTTCACTGGGTTTACTCTAAGTAGACCTTAGTTGGATACAACTCTCAGATATAATTTCACCACCATTAAGCAGTGTGAGAAATATGTGATTGCTAAAGGACAAGTCTGGTTTACAGATAGGTGAGTCAATCTATTTATAGCTTATGTCACTTTCACATATATTGATCCATAAATCCATTTTGTTGTATTTCCATATTAAACTACAATTTTATTTTATTTGTAATTGCACCAAGTGTGCGTTGCAATATACATATTTCTGAATTTATTTTTCTTCAAATGTGTATGGATAATAATAGTTTTAACTATTTAAAAAATTCATTTGGATCTTTTATGTGCATTATATGCATTTTCTCAAAATATGCATTTCTAGCCATGCTTATTATAATTTATAATTATAATTATACCATTTTTATGATGCCCTATACTTGCTTGTCTCGGGGCAGTTTTTATCTCCAAAGCCACCTTTTAAAAATGTATTTTGATATATTTTTGAGCCAATACATATTTCAGAGTATTTGGGAAGTACAAAACAAGGGAAGTAATAGTGCCACTGTATTCTGCTCTGGTCAGACCTCACCTGGAGTACTGTGTCCAGTTCTGGGCACCACAGTTCAAGAAGGACATTGACAAACTGGAACGTGTCCAGAGGAGGGCAACCAAAATGGTCAAAGGCCTGGAAACGATGCCTTATGAGGAACGGCTAAGGGAGCTGGGCATGTTTAGCCTGGAGAAGAGGAGGTTAAGGGGTGATATGATAGCCATGTTCAAATATATAAAAGGATGTCACATAGAGGAGGGAGAAAGGTTGTTTTCTGCTGCTCCAGAGAAGCGGACACGGAGCAATGGATCCAAACTACAAGAAAGAAGATTCCACCTAAACATTAGGAAGAACTTCCTGACAGTAAGAGCTGTTCGATAGTGGAATTTGCTGCCAAGGAGTGTGGTGGAGTCTCCTTCTTTGGAGGTCTTTAAGCAGAGGCTTGACAACCATATGTCAGGAGTGCTCTGATGGTGTTTCCTGCTTGGCAGGGGGTTGGACTCGATGGCCCTTGTGGTCTCTTCCAACTCTATGATTCTATGATTCTATGATTCTATGTGTATAATGTAATCCTGATCTGCATATGAATCTGGGAAGTGAAGTGCAGGTCACTTCCTAAGGATAATCAGTAACAAAGCATAAGACTGGGTGGTATCAGTGCTACTTTTCTAGAAAAAGAGGTGCCAGAACTCACCATGAATGCCTCCCTTGTTCTCTTATAATGACAATGGTGCCCACCTGAGAGGTGCCAGAACTGAGTTCCAATGAGTTCCGGCCGAAAAGAAAGACTTGATGATAACAAACCAAGGTAACACTAATGTAAAACGTGCCATAGACCCCCGTTTTATTTCTGTGAATTCATGACAAATCTGTACACAAGCCCTGATATGACTATCCAGCATTCTTTGCCTAGAGAAGGTGATAGAAAGATTGCTCAGTAAATAAAACTACACCCTATATGAAAACAAATGTGTGTACAGTAATTACACAGTAAGAATTTCTACTTCTATCCCTCTCTCAGCTGTGGCACATCATTTGTCTTTGACTACTTCCAGGGGAGATCGATGAACAATTGGAGTGAATTAATGCAGGTACGTATTTGCAGCTCAATACCTGTAAAATCATAAAAGACATCTTAATCATACCTCATTGGATTGGTGGGAGACTGACAGCTGCCTTTTCTTAATAATCATAGGATGACCTTAACAGTTCTAAATTAAAGTTTGGATTTTGGTGGGTAGCACATCTCAGATCTTGCTTATGTCATCACAGAAAGGTGTCAACTGAATGTGTAATTGATATATTGGTGAGAAAATCCATGTAAAAGTTGTTGCTTCTCACCTCCAGACTGTCGTGATATTTGCAGGAGGGATTCACACGCATACGGGAAATTTAGGTCTGTGAAATTAAAGGGGATCAAAAGGCTCTGACACCCCATTGTTACAAATCCATTTTTTGAAAAAATATGTAGCTAGGAAAGTGATGGGGAGATACAGTGAGGACTGTAGTATGTACAAATGATGCACAGGAAGTCATCTAAACACAGCACAAGCAAATCAGGATGAATGCTCAGTGGTCTATAACCACACCATAAACAAATCAGAATTAATGTTCACCAAGGCTGTGCATAGTTTGAACTCCACGTAAGTTTTAAGCAAGCTAATGAAAATGAATACTCAGAAAGCAGTTTATCTGGAAAAGCACTAACCTGTTGATAAAGTGGAAAATCTGGCCGGGAATCTGGGTTTTTTTGTTTTTGTTTTCTGTATGTGCATTCATATTGCAGAGATCAGAGGTGGAGCTAGCTGCTGCACCACCCGGAGCGGTGCACATGTTGTGCACCTGGGGGCGGAGCTAGCCGCCCATGGGGTGCTGCTGTTGGCAAACGCTCCTGGGGGGGCAGACCCCCAGTACCTCTGAGCGTCTCCCAGTAGGCACGTCTCTGGAATGACATGTCCCTTCACTCCAGAGTGGCCCTCATATGAAAAGTGCACAAAAGCCTTCTGGCATCACACAGCAAGAAGATAGAAACATCCGTAGATCTAAACTATGCTTTATTCACAATATATGCAGAGAATCCATAATCATATAATCACATCACATAAACACACTAGCTGGCATCGGCTACGTAAAATCCTAATAGCCGCATGCAGCAAGCATCCTAGGGGGTGCCATGCACTGCGAGTGTCCCAGGGGGGCATGGCGGTGTGGCAATGTCAACTCCCCTCAGCGATGACACCCGGGGCTGGCCGCACCCACTACACCCCCTTCCTTCACCAGTGAGAGAGATCACATTTTGTATATGTTCAGAATATGAAATCCATGGACTGCTAATTGGAGGAAAGGAGATGGAGTATCTGAGAGGTAGCTGAGAAGGAAGAAACTGGATGATTGGAGATGGTGGTAGTGCTCCTAGACAAGACAACTAGGTCTACCTGATTGTGTGTGCATTTGAGCAAGCAGTATTAAGCCTGAGAGAGGGAGGATGTAGAGCATCTGCGATCACCTAACTGGGGACATTAAACAGAGAGGATAGGCAGGGATTTGTCCATCTTCCTGCTGGTTTTGTGTACTCTTCATTAGTTTGCTTCTGTTAACTTTGTTTATTGCTAACCTGCATTGTTTCTTTCAGTCAGTCGTCTTCCAGGAAGACTTTCACAAGCTTTTTTTTACACCATGTGTCACACACAGCTTTCAGTAAGATCTACAGAGTGTAGACACATCAGAATTTGTTAAGTATGTAGCAATACTGCCAAGAAACTCCCTTGTTGTTAGTTTAATGTTGTTTCATGTGAATAATGTCTCCAGAACAGCCGTGTTTTTCTTTCAGATGAGGGGGCTGAACACCCCTAGAGCTGACAGCTACATTCCTTCTGTGTTAGAATACAGAAAGCGCCATTAAAATGTTGACATTCTCCACACCTAGCTGCTTAATTTATCATGGCGTGCTCCAACCTGAAGTACCAAGAATTCTGCAAATAAGGTGATAAAGGTAAATACTGTGGAGTGGTAAATGTCGAGACTTTAATGGCACCCACTGTAGGTGCCATTTTAACTAGCTGTTTCCTAATGAAAAACGTTGTGCTTTTCTTTTCGTGAACTTGAAAGTGAACAAGATTGTTTGGGCCACAACTGAGATGACAAAGTCATCATGCTCCTAGGCCATGCAGCGGTGATACAACATCTTGACCTTGTAGGGGGGTCACCGTTCCTTATATACTAGTGAAAGGTCTATCAGGATGATACGTGCAAGGGGGGGTTGGGATGTGGGTGGTGAGCAAGCTGTCCTAAACAACTGCCCATCATCCCAGCAGGTATCTCTTCAAATGACACTGCAAGATCACTCCTTGTTTTGCTAAGACTAAGTTCCTACACTTTGCAGGATGTGAAGTTGGTGATAGCAGATACTCTCCAGTCTTGCTGAAAAATAGCTGTGAAGCAGAAGTTCTGTTTTACCACAAGGTCTCCAAGATCTCTCTCCAAACTGTTCTGGGCAAGGGGTTGAATATGCATATTGCTCTCATTCTGCTAGTGAAAATCCATGGGCTGGGGGCACGGCATAACCAAAAATGTTGGCTGGGGAGGCATGGCATAAGGGCTGTTGTCATGGAGTGGCTGAACAAGTGCTATCAGGAACAGCAAACCCTCTGTTGTGCATTTTGGATTTTTGAGGGGATATTTACTGAGATTTTTCACGGGCACCATAGGAGATACTCAGTGCTATGTTGGTAACCCTTGATTTAAAAAAATAACTAATACATCTGAATTGCTCCTGGGATGCAGTGCTGGCTTCCCAAGCATCCCTCACACCCCACTTAAGGAATGCAAGGTGAGGGAGGAAAAAGGAGGGCAAGAAGATGCACCTGTGCTGTGACACTGTTGTCACCACCACCTTGGGAGGCTACATGAGCGTTCCATCACAAAACCACCACTAGGGATGGAGATAAATTCAATTCAGTTTGCATTTAAAGGCGAACCTACCTTATCTACAATTTCTGAAACAACAGTTGAACTGAAACACAGCCATGCTTCAAAACACACATTTCTCTGATTTTTGCAATGCAATTCTCTGGCCAAGCAATATCTATAAAAATGAAAATACTTAGATAAATTGTATGTAAAAACGCATGCACTGGTGAAAGTAATATACAAAAATGTAGTGTGCTAGAGAGAGAAAATGCATGCAAATATGTTTCTATGGGGGGGAATTTGCAATAAAATGCTGATGAATTTCCACAAGGACTTCTCCACCTCTCTCCTCCACACAAAGCAAACTGATGTGGAAATTTAGAGGACCAAATCTAAGCCTTAAAGATTGAGAGAAAAGTAAAATTGACATATTCACCCACCCTTCATTATCAGTACCACTTCAGAGTGATGAGTGTAGGAATAATATTGTCACACTGGACATGGTGCCAGAAGAAGAAGAAGAAGAAGAAGAAGAAGAAGAAGAAGAAGAAGACAAAAATGAAGAAAAAGAAGAAGCCTTTAAGTTTATGCTAATTGCACCAAACTGCATCTATCAGGTCTGGAGAAAAGGAGTGCTCTGCAGTGTTTCCATTAGGAGCTGATCTAATATCCATCAAAGTCAAAAAGGGGCCTTCCATTAAATTAAAATATGAATGGAGAGCAAAGTTCCTTGGCTGGAGTCTATGAGGCAGAGCTTCATCACTTATTTTCATTATTATTTTGCAGGAGAGAGGGTGGGAAAGAGCAATGAGAAATGAAACTGTGGATGGCACAAAATGGCTGCCCATTGGACTCCTGCTGAAACCCATTTTCAAATGTGTTCAAAGTCCGATTGTCTTCCACTTTTACACTCCACAGAACTATGGGCAAGGCAGATCCTTAAAATGGGATATTCCAAAGTCATTTCCAATCAGTCTAGAAGTTACTGATTGCTGTGCTGACTCCATTCCTGAAGAAGCTACTCTTTTCTGATTCATTCTCATTCTCTTACTTTTTTATCAGATGATGTTCTGAGTATTCATGGAATAGTAACAGCTCTCATTACTGGATCTATGGTGCTAAAAGGACAGACAATTAAATTTTAAAGCCATTCTGTGCTGTCTTTATTAATGTCAATTGTGTTGTTTACAATGGCAAAACTGGTCTGCAGCCATTTACTAGTGTTCACTGGGATGTGGTCAGTTGGGACATTCACTTACACAGCAGCATGGAATGCTTAGAGGACACAGTAGTTTAAAAGCTAGCCCAGAAATTTTATAGTATCTCTTTTCTTGCTCTTGGCCACCTTGAAATTATTAACTGTGGGAGTGGGAGACCGTTTCCAAAATTGGTCTTAAATCTTATTGTTTGTAAAGGCTTTTTGATGTTTTAAAATGTATTAATTATGTTTTATTTTAAATTACTATGTGGTTGTTTGACTACTTAGCCTCATTTGGGGAGGAAGAGTCGAATATAAAATTTATTGGCAGCAGCAACAATAACAACAACATCACAAACACAACTGTCCTACTCAAATATAAGGAAGTCCAGTTCCATCAAAACCCTCTTCAAATTTCTGTAAAAGGGACCTGCAATAGCTCTGCCCTCACCCATTGTTGCTCTTATTTCCCCCCACAAATTGAAGGGTGACTGTGTAAAGTGGAAACTCCCTGTGTATTTTAGAAATCAGTTACTCCTGAAGAGGGCTCTAGTAACTAAATGATATAGTGACACTACTTACATGTTCCCTGTGTTACAGAAGCTCAATTGGCCCATGCAGTGAAACACTCTTCCAACACAGAATTTGTTGACAGCCTCACTTATGACTTCCAGGTACCTCTTAGAGACCTTTTTTATGACAACAGGCCTTTGCAACTGTTTAATTTTTGTTCAGTCAGCCAGTCAGTCACCTCAATGATTATCTGATTTATTTATTTTTTAAAAGGAATAAATGAAGTTTTATGTTTTACAGCGTACACTAACTTGATACAGTTCACAATATGACAGCATATAAATGTTTGCATAAATAAGCTATCCATCTTTCCTGACTTTTTATTTAAAGAAACAGCAATTAACAAAATCAGCACTGTTGAAACACTGTTGATAAACCCAGTAATCCGTCAGTCATCTCTAAATCTCAAAGGCTTCCAAATAAATCGTCCCTAAATCCCCAAGGCTTCCAGAGCAAGTGATGATCTGAGTACTAACATTGCTGTCAGTCTAACAAGATGGATCAGGAAGAATATCAATAGTCAAGCTTGGGTTTTCAGGGCAGTGGAAGGGGTTTACCTGAGCCAGACCTTTGGCCTATCTAACCCAGTATTTATTGTCTGCATTGACTGGCAGTATCTCTCCAGGGTTTCATAGAGGGAACATTTCCAGCCCTACCTGGGGATGCCAGGAATTGAACCTGGGACCTTCTACATTCAAAGTAAGTGCTCCACCACTCTCTCCTGACCCTTTCCTTGAACCATGGTACCCCTTTCTTGTTCATTTGTATGTTCTGAATAATAGTCTCAGTAATAGCAAGAAGACGTTGATTTCAGCTAAATTTCCCATCCTTAGCTTCAACAGAATACCAGATGTTGTGAGTGCTCCACTCTTTTCCTTGGATTGTAGCTGAATTCATCCCATGTCTTTTCTCTATCAGGTTTGATATAGAATTGTGCTCCCGCCTCCAGATATTGCAGCTCTTGCACTGAATTATGATGGTTACAGAAACTCACAGCTTCTTTTAGCTCAGTAATCTGAGGGCCTTCTAGACCCCTTGGGGATTTTATGGGTCAGACCAAAGCATGTTGTGACAAAACAACCCTTTGACAGCACTAGCAAGTACGAGGAAAAGAGAAATGGCTGTGAATAACATTTCATGCTGAAGCTGCTGAAGTTGCCTCCTGTCCCTTAATGTCTTGCAAGAAGATTGTTATCGAAGGGCACTGATCCAATATTTGTGCAGAGAAGTAACATAGAAAAGTACATTAGGAAGCTGTAAACCAGGGACAGCCAATGCAACACACTCCAGATGTTGTTGAATTGCAACCAGCCAGCATGGCCAATGATCACGAATGATGGAATTGAAGTCCAGCAACATTTGGAGGGCACTATTTTGGTCAACCCTTCCATGAGCTGTTCAACTATGGTAGCATCAGTGGGCAGGGCTTTGAGGGAGAAGTCCAGGGCTCCACTTAGCCAAATTAGCAGGAGCCTTATCAATCCATGGAGATTCCTGATGCTCCCCATGCTGTTGGCAGTGACTCTTTTAGTGGGTGGTCCATCTCATCTTGTCCACCCCCACTTCTATTTGGTTCTGTTGGCTTCGTGAGTTGGCACTCAGACAGGCACACCATACTGAAGATGAGAAGCAGTGCAAACTATGGCTTGTATTACAGCAGCAAGAACAAATTCAAGGATCTGGTGACTAGGAATGGGTGGATACCCCATATGAAGTATTTTAAGTAGGGCTGTTACATCCAGTTAGTTAATCAATCGTATTGATTAAATACTTTTTCAAAGAATGAAATGTGCCCTTAGGTGATCGAACTTCCATTTGTTTGAATACTTTGAGTTATTGTGGGTGACAAGCACCTGCTTAAAAGTATTATTTCAACATCACATACCATATTCACTTATCATGAATAATATTCTGAATTTTTCATTAAGAACCTGTTTGTCGTTTGTTTACCAACTCATGAAAATGGAAGGGCGATTATAGGAAAACACATTTGCTTATATACAACACCCATGATTTTCTTTTAGTTACTCATTGGAAATACTTTATCATTGATCACATTGATCTCACTATCCTTAGAAGTTAGAATTGTGGGGCAGCAACAGATAAATCAGGAATGCTTCTTCTGTCTCAGACATTGAAGAATGATACATTTTGCCTATAATTAATTAAGTCAGCACTGTTCCAAAATCTACTGGGATGCTTATATTATCTACACATTTTCCTGTTTACATTAATCTGCCTACTGGGGAAAGAAAACATTGAAATGATGCTAGGTGATGTGGAAGCTCCACTGGCGATGCTGTCTATGCACACATGAAAATCAATACTTGAAGTAATTCACATTCAAGTGTGAGTAAATCTTCAATCCTGAACACATTTTGTAAGGCATAAGTCCCATGAAACCCAGATGCCACATAATACCTGCTTTGCATTTGTCGGGAATCAATATTTTAGTGTGGGAGCACCTATGTTCTAGTTTACTGTCAATACGGCACATTGGCCCTCATGCTGACTGATGTGGTATAAGGCAGCTTCCCATGGATCATAGCCAACGTTAGTAATTTCCAAAATGCAGCATAAATACTAGAAATATCTTCTCTACAACTGACCAAAGCACATACCATGACTTCTCCATAACAGTTCCTGCACCCAAAAAATGGGAACAAACAATTATTTCTGCTGGCCATATGCTGCACCAGGAGTAACCAACACCGTGTCCTACAGCTCCCACCATTCCTGACCAATGGCAATGTTGGGTGGGACTGATAGGACTTGGAGTCCAACAACCTCTAGGACATTGCATTGGCTTCCCCTGCACAACACAAATTTATTCACTTGGTTGCCTTTTTCGCAGGAGAAAGAGGTTTTGTTCAGTTTCCTCTGCTTTGATGGTCTAGCGTTTCAGGTAGAAAACATTCTTATTATTTGTTGCTTTGTTTCTTGCTTAATTAAAAAACAGCAACCCAGGAGCCTGTCCATTTACAGCCTCACTTTGGTGTTTCAAGTGGGAACAGTATTTTGTTTCTATCAAGTGTACTTTGGCAAACAGCCCACTCTGACATCACCATGTCAATGCAAATGAATGATCAAGGACCACTTCTAACTTGAAAAATGTATGGAGATAAAACACTTGAAAAATTGAATAAACAAAGTGGTGGACCCATGGAAGCTTGGGTGACGCTTGGGTTTAAACAGCATTCTCTCTAGGCAGAGTTTGTTTTATAGAGCTTTTGTTTCGTAAGAAGCTGAATAAATGAAGCACCCAGCATTTTTTGTTATCTTATTCTGTCCCCTCATGGTTGCCTTTAGGTGAAGTTTCCAAAATATGGATTTAGCATGCACACCTTCAGATCTCGTATGCCCTTTGACTATCATAAAATGAATAGCTCTCTACATTTAATCCTTAGTACTTTGGGTTTGATCCAGAAGGTTGTGAGTCCAGGGAAGTGGGAGAGAAACAAACAAAAAGGCAAAAAGTATTGTGCAGCTGTGTTTTAAGCTGTTGCACAAAGTCTGTGTTGTATTTGATGTGTCCAACAGATTTCTACAGGTGGGTCATGCCTTACTCCGTGCATGCCTCCATGGAGGCTCAGGGAGTAGTGCAGAGGTGGAGCTTCGACAGGACTGGGATTGTATCATGAGAGCGGGGAGGGACTGAGGCAAGTGCCTTGGCTATGAGGGTTCAGTGCCAGTTTCCCACCATCTTTATTAGAGCATCTACTGGGCTACTTGGGTCGCTGGCTGACAGGGCTGGGAATGATTTTCTTCGTCCTAACTGCAATTGGCCCTTGGTGGCAGTGGCGTTCTCTCTTCAATGAAATGCTTTTTGAACACCATTGCATAATTTTGTCACAGCTTGGGGCAGAAATGGCATTGTGCAGAATCAACATAGCAATGAGGGGTGCACAGGGGACATGTGGGGAAATTGGCTCAGGGCATGCCTTAGGCTTAAGTAGGGCCACTGCCTATCTGGAATCTGTCCCCACCTCCAGTTGCCCAGTGGGATTATGTATGCTTAGCTTGCACCACATCAGGATTCAGCACTCGGCAATTCCCATGGTGGTGGTGTAGGTGCTTCCCAACCCTGAGCAGAATGCCATTCTATCAGCAAGAGCCTGAGTGGAAGAAGGAATGGTCCTTCAGCCTGCTGCCATGCCAACCCTGCTTGCCTGCTGTTTAACCAATAAAAGTTGTGGCCTGCTTTTACCCACCTCTGAGGTTCAGACTGTGTTGTTTCCACCTCCCTCTTGAGCTACAAATATGCATTTGCCAGCATATCCAACTCTGATTGCTGCTGCATTTTGTGTGTGCACGTGGTTCTTAGGTGCTCTTGAAAACAACGGAAGCCTTTTCCTGAGTGCCGATGAGGTATCTCTGAATCTTTGCTTTTTGCAGGAAGCCGTTTTCTGTGGCAGAAAAGGTGGCGAGGATGTGTAGGAGCTCTTACTGCTGTTTTATTTCCACTCTTTTGGCATAAGCAATGAACATGTGGTGGAAGTATGCATGGAAATAAAAGGTGACATTATTAGCAAAAATGAAATAGAACTGGATTTCTTTCGGTGAGCGTATAGAATTGCAACCGCTTCCTTTCCTGACAGACAGGTAGCTTTTCATTGTTTGCTTGTCATCCCATCCATTATCTAAACAACCATATCCTTAAAAAAAAAAAAAGTCTTATGGCACCTTATGAATAAATTTATTTTGCTACTTTTCTTAAGGTAGCCATCCTTGAACAAATGTTCAGGCTTATCTGCTTGGGTCTGAATGATGACAATAGCTTGCTGCTCAACTACACGATGTTAATTATCACATATCATCACTTTGAAAAGAGCATTATAAACTCTTTGCCTGTCATAACCCTTTCACATTCTCCCTGCTTTTATTCTTAATGTCATGAGTAGGACACTTTATTCTGATTCTTAGCTTTTATTTCATTACACAAAATAACTTATCTGCAAGTTGAGTATTTTTTCTCATATATATATATGTACTACAATTTAATGTTCAATTAACAGTGTGCACCAACACAAAGTATATGTGAATAAAGCAGGTGTCTCCTAAGATTCTAAATGTAGGATTCAGTTTCTTTTCTGTCCAAATTCCATTATTATACTCCTCCTCTGACTTTATAAAAAGGACTTTAATCAGCATATTACATTATATACCTTAGGGATCCGTGTGTGCGTGTGTGCACTTCTGGATGCACACGTCGGACACATTAACATTGCATGCCCTCAACCTAGAGGACAGTATCAGCATCACTTAGCTTCAGCGAACGAAGGCCTTCTGAGCATCCTCAAAGCATTGTTTTTATCAGAGCAACTGATGAAGGCAGAAGCTGGAATGTTTGCTGTAAGAATTTAACATTTCTGCTTTGTTAGTCACTGTAATAAGCAGATGTTTTTAGTGATTAACTGCATCATGCCAGGATCCAAAGCAAACGTGTGTGAGGTGGTATGCTGGGGTGTGTTTGTGTATATGTGTTTGAGAACCGCAGTGGGTGCTGTTGCAGCAGCAGGGAAAACCTTGCTTCCATCATGGGCTGAGTAAGATCATGCTGCTCAGCCTTTCCTCTATTGCTTCTGAGGATGATAGCAATCAATGCCAAAGCTGAGGGCAGGGCCATAGCTCGGGGTCATGCTTTGCAAGCAGAAGGTCCCAGGTAGGGCTGAAAGAGAATCCTGGGCTGAAATCCTGGAGGATTGCTGCCAATCAATGTAAGCAACACTCACCTAGGTGGACCAATGGTG